GTCAGTAAGGCTTCACATTTCAGTTGGGTTTTAAAAGTGAATTTAAAACAAGGAGTTGGATAATGCAATGTTCATAAAAGAATGGTGGTTCTTGGAAATCTGATATGACATTCTTATATCATTTTTCTGAGCAGAAACTTGAGGTAGGAATAGGAGGGTGAGCAGCTAAGGCAGATGTGAGGAGGATGGCAGCCTTATGATGGTTTACTGCCAGCTGAATAGCTAGGTCTTCATGTAGGCCCTTCCCTGACCCTGTCCCCTCAGCATGGACTGAGTCCCCTCAGCATGGACTGACGTCCCCAAGGAAAGGACGGCTAGTTGCCTCTATAGACTTCAACAACAGGGCAGAAATAAATCTGAGACCTTTCCCTCTAAGAATCATAGAAAGATACGGCTGGAAAGGATATCGAAAATCACAGTTCAGTTATTTCTAATTTACATCCCCCAGATCTTAGGGAGTCTCAAAATGACAAATGAGAATATGTAATCAACTTTCAATATTCCAAAAAGCCTACCAGAAGTTGTATCTTCTAGTGGTTTTAACAGCCAGGTTTCCTTGTTTTGCGCTACAATTCTATCATACCCACTTTAGCCCGAGGTTTTGGCTGAGCTGTGTCCCGATTGAGTAGAATTTTTCCCATCACTGTTATGCTTAATTTGGTAAATAATTTTTCAAAATACAAGAGTAAGATCATGATCCAACTCACACCTGCTACAATGCTTGCAATTTACAAAGCACTGCTCACTGACTTCAACTTAACTGGTAATACTGTGGAATGGCTAACACCACCAGCAGAGTCCAGAGTCCTTGACTCTCAGTCCAGTGCTCTTTTCAAATGCTCAGAGCTTCTGGGCTCTTTCCCGAGTGTCCCAGCCTACAGAGCCTTCCAATCCCCGATTCGGAAGCACCTGTCGTGCCCCCGCCAGTGGGTCAGGACTGCCCGCCGCTCCCTCTTCACGTTCTGGAATGCGGCTCGCCCCGACGCATGCGTAGTGCAGCGACTCCGCGCCGGAGCCGCTCTTCTTGGCCTGGAGCGGGGACCCTGGGTAACCCGCGAGGGTCGGCGCCCGGGACGCGCGTGCGCAGTCGCTTTTGGAGCCCTTCCCCTCTTTCCCCTCCCCTCAAACCACTCCGCCACGCCCACCATCAAGTCCTCTCTCTGTAGCCCTTTCACCCCTTAACACTGCCCTGCCCTCGGGCGCGTCACGAACGAAACCGGCTCTGGACTAGGGCGGAGGTCGTTGCTAGGCCGCCGCCGTCGCCCAGGGCGCGCTGTGCGTGTCTGA